GAAAATGTTTTGCCATGTTAGTCTCGTTGATCATGGTTCTGGCCATTTCTTGCAATGTTCTATTTTTCCTTTCTACAACTCCATTCTGTTGAGGAGTTCTAGGACAAGAAAAATCACGTGCAATTCCATTTTCTTTAAAATATTTTTCAAAATATTTGTTTTCAAATTCTCCACCATGATCACTTCTGACTTTAACAATTTTAAATTCTTTTTCGTTTTGGACTTGTTTGCAGAAGTCAATGAATTCAGAATCTGACTCATCCTTGTGTTTCAGGAATTTTACCCATGTCCATTTGTTGTAGTCATCAACTATGACTAATCCATACTTCTTGCCTATGATGGAAGCAATTTTCACTGGTCCAAATAGATCAATATGAAGCAGCTCTAATGGTCTTGAGGTAGAAACAACATTTTTAGCTTTGAAAGTAGATTTTGAAAATTTTCCTTTCTGACATGCTTCATAAAAAGCATCTGAGTTGAACTTCAACTGAGGAAGTCCTCTGACCAGATTGAGTTTATTAATCTGAGATATATGTCTCATACTAATATGCCCCAATCTTCTGTGCCAGACCCATTGCTCATCGTTAACAGACAGAAGGCATTTTAGATTCTGAACTTTAAGTTCTGAAAGATTGATTTTGTAAATTTTGTTTTTGCTTTTTCCATTAAAGAGGATTGAACCATCTTTTTTACTAACAACTTTACAACATTTTTGATTGAAGATTATATCATAACCATTGTCACTTAATTGACTTATGGACAATAAATTATGTGTTAATCCTTCAACAAGTAAAACATTAGATATGGAAGGGAGGTTACCATTACCTATAGTTCCAGAGCTATTATTTTGCCCTTCTAGTTCCCTCCAAACATCACATCACCTTCAGATCTAAGTTCCAGGCTTTGGAACATAGACCTTCTTCCCGTCATGTGACGCGAGCAGCCAGAGTTCAGGTACCATAATTGGTGTTTCAACTTTGCTGCTAAGGATGTCTGCAATAAAAATCATTTTGTCCTTAGGTACCCATATTTTCTTGGGTCCTCTGGGGTTAGTAGGTTTGAAATTCTTTCTGAATTTCTTTCCCTTAAAAGCATCCTTGCTCTGATGGAATTTTGGTTTATTAAACACAGGTTTGTTCTGATCAGAACTTGTATGCTTAATATCATTTAAACGACCATATTTGAATTGAGTATACAGAGGAGAATATTTAATGATCAGTTTATCAACAGGTTTTGGATTTAAATCCTTCCCAGAAGGTGATTCATATCCAATTCCCTTTCTGTTGTTTCTGCTTACGCCATAGATCATGGAAGCCATCTTGCTTCTATTTAGGCCTCTAGACAGAAACTTCTGAAAGCTATAGTCATACTCTTCTAAAATGTTTTTAGAGCATGATATGGGTTCTGAGTCAGATTTTTGAGCCTTTTCTAAATCATTTTTCATTTTAAGATTGTTTGCTTTAAGCTTAGCAACTTCTGATCTCAGCTGATCATTCTCAGATGCAAGACAACTTTGAAGCCTCTTGTATTTGAGTTTGATCTTGCTGTAGCTTTCAAGAATTTCTGATAGACTTTTAGAAAGTTCAGCTCTAGTGAGTTCAGAAAATACCTCTTTTGAATTTGATTCTGATCCAGATTCAGCAGTTTCTTCGTGGTCCTCCATGTCATCCATCAGTGCTACATTAGCATATTCATCTTTTGATTCTTATGAGGATTCAGAAGCATCTGAATCATCCCACATGGCCATTAAAACTTTCTTCTTCTTTTCAAACTTCCTTCTGGGTTTCTCCTTCAGATGTTTGGGACATTCATTTTTATAGTGGTCTGGCTCCTTGCACTCGTAGCACACTATATCTTTCTTTCCAGATTTCTTATGTCCAGAAGAATTGCCACACTGATCAGATCTTTTGAATTTTCTAAACTTCTTTTGCTTATGCTTCTAGAGTTGGTTTATCCTCTTGGACATCAAAGACAGTTCATCTTCTTCTTCTGAAGATTCTTCAGAGCTTTCTTCAATAAACTGCAAAGCTTTAGCAGATTTGTTAGATTTTAAAGCAATAGAACTACCTTTCTTCTGAGGCTCGTCTTCCTCCAGCTCAATCTCGTGACTCCTTAAGAAACTGATCAATTCCTCCAGAGTGATCTTATTCAGATCCTTTGCAAGCTTCAGAGCTGTCACCATTGGTCTCCACCTTGTTGGCAAGCTTCTGATGATCTTCTTAACATGGTCAGAAGTGGAGTAACCTTTATCCAGAACCTTCAACCCAGCAGTTAGGATCTAAAATCTTGAGAACATATATTCCACAGATTCAGACTCCTCCATTTTCAAGGCTTCGTACTTCTGGATGAGGGCCAGAGCCTTTGTCTCCTTTACTTGGGAGTTTCCTTCATGCGTCATTTTTAGAGACTCAAACATATCACATGCAGTATCTCTATTTGTTATTTTTTCATACTCAGTATGAGATATAGCATTTAATAGAATGGTTCTTGCCTTGTGATGGTTTCTAAACTCCTTCTTCTGTTGATTAGACATAGACTTTCTGTCAACCTTTTTCCCTTCATCATTAGTAGGATGAATATAACCATCAGTTACCAAATCCCATAAATCTGCGTCATAGCCTAGAAAGAAACTTTTTGTTTTATCTTTCCAGTAATCAAACTTCTCACCATCAAACATGGGAGGTTTGGTGCTGATTTTGTCTCTATCATCGTATTTGTTGTTATATGAAGTTGAAGTTGAAGCTTCAGTAGCCATGATGAATCAAGAACAAAGGATTAAGAGTTTTTCCCAACAGGATCTTTTTCTATCACGGTTAAGTGAGAGCACTTACATAACCGGAGCTCTGATGCCAACTGAAGGTAGGAAAAACACTTAGAACGGGGGGGGGGGGGGTTGAATAAGGGTTTTAAAACAATTGAGATGATAGAAAAAATAACACAGTATTTTTATCCTGGTTCGTTTGAACTCAAACTAATCCAGTCCACCCTATCAAGGTGATTTGCCTTTCTCAACAAGGACTTAATCCACTATATCAAACTTGATTATAGTGTAAACCACTAAGACAACTTTCTTATTTTTCTCAAGAAATTTTGACCACAGCTTAGTCTTCTTAAGGAAATCTTTTACAAAGATAAACTAACAATTTGTGTTTAAGATGTGCTTTTAAAAAGCAATATCACAACAGTGATTTTTACACAAGTTTTAGAACGAAAATAAACTATTCAGCTTTTGAAGAAACTTTGTATGAGAGCTTGTTGAATAACTTATCAAGAATTTGTTTGAAGTTTGTTAATATTTGAATTGATGCTTAGACTTGCTTTTATAGTACTTTGAAATCCTTTTCTCAAAGACTGTGCAATCTGTGTGTTCTGTTCTTTTTGTCTTCTATTGACTTTTCCTTTCTCAGAAGAGGAATGTTCTGACAAATCCTTTTTATCTGAATTCCTGTATCATGCACGAATGAGGAAAGAGCCATTTGGATAAGAAAAGGAATATGCCAACGGATCTTTATTTGAACATCATCTTCTTCAACAACTTTGGAATGCCTTGCATCAGAACTTCTGATGATGTTCTTAGTTGTTCAGATCAGAGTTAACTCACTCAGAGTTTCTCTATCAGAGTTTGCAGCCAAGTGCTTTAAGCGTGAACTCTTTACCAGAGCATACTTGCTTATCAGAGCTTATGTACTTGCAGCGTTGAGTACATCCAGAGTCTTCTGAAGCTTTACGTATGTTCTTCACTCAAGTTCTTCTTAGCTTCGCTCAGAGTCAATGTAGCAGATCAGAGTCTTCTGATGTGTTGCTTCTGACGCTCTGAGCTTTCTCGTTCTTTAATGTTCATAGGCATTCTTGCTTCCAGAATAATATTAATTTTGATATCTGAAACAAATAAACACTTGAACAAAATTAGAGTATATAAATTCTCTATACAAAATTTCATTAATGTTATCATCAAAACTATGAGATATATTAAACACCAATCTGTGATTTAAAAACCCAATGCCTCCAAAACATCCCCAAATCATCCCTAAGATCATACGGCGATAACGGCACAAACCCTATGGTTCATTAGGCCAATCCGACAACATTTGCACTGCCTAAAACACTATTTTCCTGCAATTGCTCTGAGTGCATCAGAGTTACTCACATTTGAACATTCTTATTCCTACAGGGTCAAACATATCACAATCGAGGTTTTGGCCACAAAGGCCTAAGGTTTCCCTTTCTCATATCAATATTCAGTGTTACATACCATTACCCCTAACCTCAAAGCCTTATCATCACATTCCCTATTTTCCCACAGCCAACCCAAAATACCTTAAATAATAAATCACATAAACCAACCATAAACACATCTAAAGGCATACATAGAAAATCATGAACATCGATACTCCCCATACCTTAGCCGATTCGTAGCTTTCACAATTAACTTCGGGATCTTCCGAAGCTTTTGCCTCCACTTCTCCCTCCATCAGAGCTCTGGGCTCATTCTTTTCACGGTTAACAAATGAATTCTAAATTTCTTCAGAATTCTATTTTGTCCAACTTAGTCTTGGGCCTCCCAATTTGGCTTTTCCTTCATTACCCTTACTAACTCCTCCAAATGCCCAAATTACCCTTATTTCACTTATATTTATTTTAATTCATAATAATATTTATAAATCCATATTACATACTATTATTCCAAAATAAATACTCCAAATATACATAATTCCCCAATAATTCCCAAAACCACTGAAAACACCAAAAATACGAATATTCTCAATTAAATAAATTAATTAAAATATTCCAATTAAATTCGGGGTGTTACAGACGGCAACAAATCGTATTTCCACGCATCCGTAAAAGGCAAAAATAATACTAAGAATATTTCACAACTCACTAAAGAAGATGGCACAATACTGACAGTGCAGGCTGATATTGAAGATGAAGTCTTGGATTATTATAAGAACTTATTCGGCACTACTGACAGCACAGTTCGTCACATTGATGTCGTCGCCATGAGAGATGGACCACATCTGAACATGGAACAACGACGGTCCCTCTTGGCACCTATAACAGAGCAGGAAATTCATACGGCACTTAAAGGTATTGGGGACTTGAAATCACCGGGGATTAATGGTTACGGAGCCCGTTTCTTTAAAGGTAGCTGGGAAACCATTAAATCTGATGTGGTAAATGCAGTACAAGATTTTTTATGCCACGAACGCCTATTTAAAACATTTAACAGTAGTGTGGTGATGCTTATTCCAAAACACTATGACGCTCAATCCATTAAAGACTACAGGCCAATAGCAGGGTGTACCATTGTCTATAAAATCATCTCAAAAATACTTACTACAAGATTGGGTAAAGTTATTGGCGATGTTGTCTACCATTCGCAAGCTGCATTTGTGTCGGGCCAACAGATCCATAATCATATCCTACTAGCGTATGCACTTATTAAGGGGTATACCAGGAAAGGAGGCACCCCACGATGTATGCTCAAATTAATCTTCAAAAAGCCTATGATATGGTAAATTAGGATGCTCTGGAGTGTATTATGAAGGAAATTGGAATTCCAACCCAATTTAGTAGATGGTAATGATTATTGTCACTTATGTTACTTATAAATTCAACATCAACGGGTATCATACAAAAACTATCCAAGAGAAGCGGGGTCTCAGGCAAGGGGACCCTATCTCCCCTCTATTATTTGTTATACTAATGGAATATCTCAACAGGTGCTTTCAAAAAATGCAGAAGAATCCCAATTTCAACCATCACGCTAAGTATGAGAAGTTACATATTACTAATCTCTCCTTTGTAGATGATTTACTTCTTTTTTCTATAGGAGATTGTATGTCGGTGGAGCTGATTATGGAGGCTTTTAATGGTTTCTCTGATTCCACTGGCTTCAAATTAAACCCGGCAAAATGAAAAATTTATTTTAGTGGGGTGGATGCGGATACAAAGCAAAACATCATTAACATTACTAATTTCCGGGAGGGTCCTTTCCCCTTAAGGTATTTAGGGGTCCCTCTAACCTCTAAAAAATTATCTATCCATCATTATATGTCGTTGATTGATAAGATTATGAGTCGAGTTAATCATTGGAGTGCTAAACTCCTAAGTTATGCAGGGTTTGCCCAACTTATAAAAAGTGTTACTTTTGCCATTGCGAACTATTGGATGCAATGCTTTCCTATTCCTAGATCTGTTATTCATAAAATTGAAGCTATGTGTAGATCTTTCATGTGTACAGGTGGAGCTGATATTAGTAGGAAGATCCCTATTGCTTGGGACAACGTATGTAGACCTCTGAATTATGGAGGCCTGGGTATCATTGATCTTAAGATCTGGAATAAGATTACCATGGTTAAACTGCTCTGGAACCTTAGTAGTAAAATTGATAGCTTGTGGGTAAAATGGGTTTATAATTATTATTTGAAGCATGAGGGATTGATAAATGTCAGTATCAAACCCCACACCTCATGGATTATGAGGACCATCCTAAAACAGAGGTATAGCTTGGTGGATATTCAACATGTATGGGATCGCATGCTTACTAGCAACAAGTTTAGGATGAAGGATATTTATATGGTAATCTATAGTAATGCCCCAAAAGTAATGTGGAAGAATATACTACGAAGTAATGCTGCTCGACCAAGGGCTCTGATTACTATGTGGTTTTCATGTCACAGAAGATTGGTTACAAAACAACGCCTTTTCCGATTTGGTATGATCACCGATGATAGATGTAGTCTTTTTTCTAAAAAGGAGGAATCTATTAATCATCTCTTATTCTGCTGTCCTGAAACGGTGTATATCTGGACCAAAATCCTAGATTGGATCCAGATTCCGCATGTCCCGCGACCGTGGGATGAAGAAATGGACTGGGTGTGCAGGAGTACGAGCGGTAAGGGTTGGCGAGCATCCCTCTTGAAACTAGCTATAACGGATACTGTTTATGGTGTATGGAAATACCGTAATGACATTTGTTACGGTAATGTTATAGATAAGACATAAATTAGTGATAATATTATAGATATGATTGTTTATAGGGGGTGGTATAACCAGAAACTTAGGCCGCACATTGCTCACTTGATGACTTATTAGTGTTTTTTGTATTTTTCATTTGGTCTTTGTGTCTTTTCTGAGGGCAGGATCCTCGCGATCGCCTTGTACTTGTACTGCTTTTTTTGAATTATTTAAATCTTCCTTTTGATTAAAAAAAAAATATTAAAGATATTTTATTGGTAAGGTTGAAATAAAGGGTGACTCGGAGCTAGTGATCAAGCAAATGACATAATAATATAAGTGCATTAAAGAGCATTTGTTAGTGTATTTCGTAATGACAAATCGACATTTGGAGCACTTTGAGATAGTCAACATTACACATGTACTTAGAATAGAAAATCAAGAGGCTAATGAATTAGCACAGATTGCATCTGGGTATAAGGTGTCGAGAAACAAGCTTAGAGACTTCGTAGAAGTCAGAGGAAAAGTAGCGTTCAACCTAATACCGTCACCTCAATAGGCGACTTACGAAAAACTTAGGGCAATCCTAGTGGACTCGTAAAACAAAATTGGTCCAGGAAAAAGTTAAGGATCGGAATATTAAAATCAAAAGCGGTCCTCAAATCCTCAGTCAAAATAAGATTCAGTGACCACCTTATCAAAAATCAAAAGGTCACTAACATCCATAAAAAATAAATAAGGTAACTGCCATTTCAAGCGGACCTAGAATCATCACGCTTACACCGTCAACCTTGTCGGAAGATGAATGTGTGCAGAATTAAATGAACGTAGGACTGGAGTTCATCACGGATAAAGGGTGGGTACAAAATAGATTTTTGAGCCTTATATCCTTTTTTCCTATAATTGTGAACCAGACCACGTTACAACCCTCAAAAGACCTAATTGAGGCGGAGTTTATTCTAAAAGCATACTACAACAAGTTTACGTAAACTGACTGTCATATCCCAAATTTTGTCCTTAGATTATTTGATCTTCCGCATATCATTCTAGGTCAATCATATTGCAAAAATAACTAGTTTTCAACTTTAGTTTGTTTTGTTTCACTCGTGAACCTAGGTTAGACTTCAGAAGCTTCAAGACGGTTAAATTATGGTTTTGGACAAGAGGTTTGTCTGATGAGGTGGATTTCCTCTGGGAAGAAATTGTTTCTCTCAGTTATTGTACTCAAGCATGAGGCAGAAGTGTTGGGTTTCCAATTGTCATGAGCAGTGCCTATCAGAGGTTTATCAAAGGCACGATGTCAGTTTCTATGAATTTCCATAAGGAGTCATTTGTTAAGGCTCCACCAATGGTTTGACTGAAAGATTCTGAATCAAGTTCAACTAAGGTGGTCTAATTTGTGTCAAAAAAATAGGAGAGTACTTCATTTTTAAGATGGATTTGTCATGGATCAGTATCATATATTTAATGATCATCAACCCAGGTTTTTGTGGAAATTCAAATTCATCAGGTGAAGTAAGGTTGCAGGGTCTTGGTCATGTGGCTTAGGATTTATAGCAATTCAGGTTTCATTTCCATTTCGATTCAGTTCGAGTTCCGATTCAATATCAAGATTTCATCTCTAAGTTTTATTCAAATTCCAAAATCCTTTCAATTTCATTCAAATTCCATTTTCCTTCAATACATTTCAAAATCTCAATTCATAACTACATTACAAATTCTTTCTCATTCAATTCAACTCTTCCTTTTTTTCTCATTATTATTCAAGTTCAAGTTCAGTATTACGTTTCAAGTTTATTTTCTCAATTTCAAGTCCAAGTTGCATTTCAATCTTCACGTCTAAATTCCAAAAGTTCACTTCTAGCATTATTTCAATTTTCCTTTTCCTATCTAACACTCTTTTTGTTTAGTTCATATCAATTCCCAACTCTTGACAACTATACATTTCACTTCAAATTAAAACCAAGGTTTCAATAAGTCCATGTACATATTCCAAAAAGCCCAAGAGTCCATACTGTTATAGTAATTAAAAATAAAAAAAGATCATGTATTCATTTTTCCTAAGCCCAATGCATCTTTACATCAAATGAGCAAAAATCGAAAAATCCTGCTGCTGCCATAGACCTGCGCATAAGAAACAAATTCATACACAAAACAACTCACATCGCTCCTTCGTTATGCTATAACAACAACAACAACATCACGTTCAGCCGCAACAAGACAAAAAATATAAATCATGAGCATAGTTTCATGAGAAGCTGCATCAGCTTTACACCATGCCAAAATGTTACGGACCACACCATTCTACAATCCCAGGCTTCACTCCAAAACAAAAGGCAACAACAATACACTAAAATAGGACCTGCCAAAGTCTGATAAAATAAGCAACCTCACATTGCTGAACAAAACAAAACTGAGAACCTATCAAAACCATGAGCGAAAGGGATTCAACATATCAACAAGACCAAAGTTTGTTTTTGATTAAAAAGAAAACGGGGAAGAAAACAAGGTGAAAAAAAATCACCGGATACTCTTTAATCGACCATACAAACACCATCACCTTTGAAGCCCTCATTCATCCCTTCGGATACTCTTTACTCCTATTGGGAATCAGATTATACAAGAACATACCATTATCCGAGATGGACATTCCTCTTCTCTTGATGATACAGACCATCAGATTTTTGCATTTCCGATGCCAGATTCTCAAGAGGCGGTCCCTGTGATGGAAACTAAAGACCCACGATACGTTGAGATTATGGAGAAGTTTTGTATGTTGGAAAAGAAACTTGATATCATTAAGGGTCGTGACTCTGGTGATCTGAATGCTTTGAACATGTGTTTGGTACCTGACCTTATGATGCCGCCTAAGTTCAAGACACCAAAGTTTGAAAAGTACAAAGGAGATAGTTGTTCGAAGTAGCATTTGGTGATGTATTGCAGAAAAATGACTTCACGTATCTGCAATGACAAGCTTATGATCCACTATTTCCAAGACAGTATGAGTCGAGCATTGCTGAATTAGAATATGCAGCTAGAGAGCAGTAACATTCAATCATAGTCAGACCTAGCTAATGCCTTCGTAAAGAAATATAACTACAATCTTGACTTGGCTCTTAGTCGCTTGCATTTGCTAGATTTATCTCAAAAATATAATGAATCCTTCAGAAGGTATGCTCAGAGATGGAGAGAAATAGCCGCTCGTGTTCAACCACCACTCTTGGATAAGGAATTGGTTGACTGGTTCGTGGATATTTTGCAAGACCCGTACCAAGAAAAGCTGTTTAGCATTGTGACGTCAAACTTCTCAGACTTGGTAGTAGTTGGACAGCGAATCGAGAGTGGTCTCAAGAGCGGAAAAATTCAAGATATCTCGAAAATCCCAGCTAGTGAGAGTGAATCAGTTGTCAGTTATCAAGAAGAGTTGGAGGAAGAAAGTAATTCTATCCAGGAATCCCTGATATCTCGATCTCAGCGCTCATGCATCTCAACTGTTCAGAGTCAGCAATCTCTTGGACCTCCACGTCAGACACCTTTCTTTCCCCAAAGGCAATATTTTCCTCCAAATCGAAGACTTCCTCAGTATCAATGATCATATCGCCATCAGCTGTGTCTGCATGCCAGACAAAGGCTAAGGAAGCCAAAGAGACATTTCACTCTGTTGCCAATGGCATATAGTCAGATTTTTCCAGATTTTTCCAATGATCCCTCCATACCCACCAGGATTTGATGCCAATGCCCGATGTGGCTACCATTCTAGGGCACAACGGCATTCAACTGAAGATTGTAAGGTGCTCAGGCGCAAGGTTCAAACTCTGCTTGACTCTGAGATGTTCTCATTCACGCCTCAAGGTATTCAAATCAACAATCCTTCTTTTCGCCAAGAGGATTCATCAGTCCATATTGTGGAAGAAATCACCGAGATTGGATGTAAAGATGCTTCTCTAACTGATCTCAAC